CAAATGTGATTTCATCATAGCCATTGACATGATTGATCCCATGGTCCAGACTTATTCTTATTTCTTTCACTATCTTCCTTTCTCATATGATCTCTTCTCTCTCTTCTCTCTTTCTTTCTCTCTCTCTCTCTCTCTCTCTCTCTCTCTCTCTCTCTCTCTCTCTCTCTCTCTCTCTCTCTCTCTCTATATATATATATATATATATATAAAGATATTAAATATTTACCAAAAACAGTTCCATTTTTAAAAATAATTTTATGTTTTTAAACAAAAAATCAATCAGCATTTAATGCATCATAAAATGTTGGTTTTTGTTTAATCATGTTGCATACACTTTTTAAAATCGGATTGCATAAGGAAACCCAATATTTCGTAGCAATAATTTACGGTCGATCGATTTTTTGTACATATAAAATCAACCAGCATTTAATGCATCCTAAAATGTTAGGTATTGTTTCATCCTACTATATACAATTTTGAAATCAAATTGCATACACGTATGAAAGCCCAAAAATTCAGAGCAATAATATTCGGTTAGCTCACTTTTTTTCATTTGTTTAAACATAAAATCAATCAATATTTAATGCATCCTAAAATTTTGTGTTTTGTTTAATACTACTGCATACAATTTTTGAAATCGAATCGCAATCACGTACCTAATAATTCAAATTTCCTACCTTTTCCAAAATCCCAAATTTTGAATTTCGTTACATACTTGATACTAAAAAATATTCGAGCCCTGGGAATGCAGCAGTGTTAAAAACTCTTGAGGGAGAGCTTTGCCGCCCTTGTGGTCCTACCCGGCTCGATTCCGGATTAGTCGTTTCTCCTGTGGATCCGGAAACCGGAAGGTCCCTGTACCAAAAAAAAAATATATGGTTGCATTTTATTTTAAAAACAAAAAAAACAAAAAAAAAAATCGTCCCGTCACATATTTGATTCCTACAGCATTTGAGTTGATATTACATTGAGATTCAAAATCCCTTCCTGCAATGAAATAATTTATTGAAATTGAATTCATAACCCACATCCGCTAATCTTGGTCCACCAAATCAAATCATTCCATACAAGGCTGACTTTTATAACATTTATATTAAATCTTATGCTTAAATTAAAAAAAAAAAAAATAATAAAATTCCTATGCATACACTTAAAAATTAAAAAAGAAAAAGAAAAAACTGCCTTTAATAACATTTTAAATTAAATCCTATGCTTAAATTTGAAAAAAAAAATCCTATGCATAAATTTAAAAAAAAAAACCTACAAAATCTCATCGTAAATCTTGACGAGTTTAAAAAATCTCATCCCTTATCTATAGTAACAATTTAAAAATAAATAAATAAAATAAAAAACTAATTCACTGTAATATTTAATTACTACTATAAATTCATGATCTACGTTAAGATTTTTCTAAAAAAGTAATTTTCACCTATTTAGTTACAAATATTTTTTTAGAATATTGTTAAGTATTAACACACAATAATTTAGATACTTTTAAACATTATTTGTTCAATTTTTTCTGCAATATGACATTATAAGTTGACTATGCCTTAACCACCACAAATCGAACCATCTTCACCTTCCTCAAAGGAAGAACTCTAGCGCCATTGTCAATTGTACCTCCCCTAGAGGCATCACTTCCGCCCCAATGAAGCCGAACAACGATGTTTTGATCGGGGTGAACCTAGGTCCATCTGTATGAAACAATCATAAAACATGATATCTGCAGAGCTCCCTGTATCCGCAAGTATCCCCTCCACATCATAGATCGCAATCTTGGTTGTAACCACTAGAGCATCATTGTGGGGGCACCAACACTCCTTGGGAATCCCCTGCACCTTACTTCAACTCCGGGAATAGTATGAGCAATTTGAACCTCCACTACTCTCCAAATCAGCCCTCAAGTTAGCTCGCCTAGCTCCATATAAATAACCATTTGTTGGTCCCCCAGCTATCATGTGGATCACCC